CCCTGGTTGTCCCCGGTCATCATGGCGCCGTCGCGGAAGGTCGGCGCCAGGACGGGCACCAGCGGTTGGTTGACGGGGACCAGGTGAAAGTTGGGGCCGATGCGGTGGCGGGCGGTGTCGGAGTAGGCGAAGAGGCGCGCCTGGAGGACCTTGTCCGGGGAGAACTCGAGACCGGGCACGCGGTTGGCTGGGCTGAAAGCGAGCTGCTCTACCTGGGCAAAGTAGTTGTCCGGATTGCGGTTTAGCACTAGGCGGCCGACCTCGAAGGGCGGGTACTGGTCTTCGGGCCATACCTGTTTAGTGAAAAGATGGCAAAATTAAGTGATTTGTTTTGCATTTCAAATGCTGTTTACCTTGGTCAGATCAAAGGGATTAAACTCCCAGTTCTGCGCCTGCTCGAAGGTCATGATCTGCACGTACAGCGTCCAGTAGGGGTAGTCCTTGCGCTCGATGGCGTCGTAGAGGTCGTGCACGCCAAAGTCCGGGTCGGAGGCGAGGAGGGCGTTGGCCGTCGCCGCGTCGAGGTTCTTCACGCCCTGGCCGGTGCGCCAGCGGAACTTGTTGTACACCGGCTGCCCGTCGGCGTTGATCAGCTTGTAGGTGTGCGAGCCCCAGCCGTCCATGTGGCGGAAGCCGTCAGGGACGCCGCGGTCGCTGAACATCCACGCCACCTGGTACATCGACTCAGGGCGGAGGGTGAAGAAGTCCCAGCGGGCGTTGTAGTCGATGAGGTTCGTCTGCGGATTGCGCTTCTGCGTGTGGATGAAGCGCATGAAGAAGAAGGGGTCGCGCACGAAGAAGACCGGCGTGTTGTTGCCTGGTGAAGGTGTAGATTCAAAGTCAAATTCTAGAAATCATTAAATTTGAGTTACTCTTAACACTTACCAACCAGATCCCAATTTCCATCCTCAGTGTAGAAGCGAACGGCAAAGCCGCGCACATCTCTCACCGTATCCCCCGATCCTCGCTCTCTGACCACCGTCGAAAAGCGAGCCACCGTGGGCGTTCGCTTTCCCACCTTGCTGAAGAGCGACATTTTCGTGTACTTGGTGATCTCCGTGCTAGTGACCTCAAAGTAGCCAAAGGCGGCGGCGCCCTTGGCATGCACCACCCTTTCGGGCGTTCGCTCCCGGTTGAAGTG